TGAGTTTGTCTACTGCCTTAATTAGTTCATCCGCAAGGATGAGGTTAGAGTTCGAGCCCACATGGTATTGCATCGCCACTCCACGCTTTGCAGGCTTGGAGCGCATGCTAAACCATGAGGCAGAATTATTTGGACTATTTGATACTAATTGCATTACGACGGCATCAGATACAAGAAGAGCTATGTCGTCTGCACACTCGATATCTGCCAGAGAACGCCACGGGAGCACTTGGACCCCACAGGCATTAGAGGCCGTTAGTGAGTCTTCCATAGTAATAACGGTGACGAATTTGAAGAGGGAAGTTGGAAGAGAACAGCCCTGTCTGATACTGCTTGATGTGGTGAATTCAGTGGAGAGCTTTCCGCAGACTGCGGAGTTGGTGTATAGCGCACTACGTAGGTCCGATAATTTATGGAGGACACCTTTGTTCATCAGTCACTGCCACAGCGAATTCAAAGGCACCTTTCCCTGCATGAAGGGATTGTTCAGGGATTTGCATTTATTTGCTTCCCCCTTGAACACGTCGGTTGAGTTAATCAGTTCACCGCCTGAGAAGAGTCTCTGTAGCTCAACAATATTCAGTTAAGTCGGCTGGGAAGCTTCCAGAACTCAACAGCCACAATGGAAAAAGTGGTGGTTTGAAAGACGATCGGTGCGAGGTGAAAGAGGCAATACTCACAGCCTCTGATGCTTCCTCCAGGAGCTTGCTCCGATTGAAGCCAGTGACAAACGACTGTGATAGCACGCCCCTAAAGCGCCGAATACGGAAGAGCTTAAGGATTGACAGAGCGCTGGTGGATCGAAAAGCTTGATACATGGAAAAACACTTTGTTACGGGAAACAATCACACTGTTCTAGCCAATCTAGTCAACGCTTCCGTGGTGTGTGGACGTTAGTGAAATGGTCCTTGAAAGGGGTGTAGCTTAAATTCATTCAGAAAAAACACCGTTTTGGACGATGGGCTGAACACTTTGAAGGACAGTTCGGTTCGGTCCCATGGGCTTAACATCTGGTAGAAACATATAAATGCGAGTGGAACCTGTCATCAGTCCGCCATTGACGGCGGAAGCCCAGTGGTCGGTTTCGTTGTTTCAACGCAACTGTGCACTTTCTGTTCCGGACGGTTTCTCAACCTCGAATTTCCAAAGAACGTGGCTAGTCCCTCGTCGCTCACCTGACAGCGTTGAAAAATCTGGAATGAAGAACGAACACCAACAGCATGTGGCGCCTCGGCGGTGATCCCCATATTAAAAAAGTGTGCAAGAACATCTTGAGGAGGACGGAGCACTGGTCTAGCGATCATTGCTTCCAAAATGCTCTGTGTTACTATTCTACACATCATTCACACACATCCACATCCATCATCAGAAGAGCCAGATTCGTGAGAATCAAGCTGTTTTGCTCAGGCCGGAGTTGTATTGACCATATCATTAGTGTGCGACAAGTATTGAGGCTAATTCACTTTCTGACGATCGATCCCTCCTCGATTTCATGTCTGTTGGCTCCATTGTCAGAATCCGTGGAAATGTCTGATGATGACATGTGTCCTTTGTACATTCTTGTCGATTGTGGCTCTTTGGACGCATGTCTACAACAACTTCTTTTGAGTTCATCGCACTCATTGGTGTGGTGTCCTAATGGAATGTCCTCTGTGACCATCTCTTTTTAACGTCGTATTCGATGTGCTGCTTGTGTCTTCACTTTTCCCTAACACTTCAGGAATCAAAATGCTCCCAGAGCATTCGCTCACATATCTTCATATCCATTACGCAACCCATAAATTAACCTTAAGTTCCATAAACCGCTGCCTTTAACCAACTGCGTCATCCTAGTGGTTAGTGTAGACCAGAATTTAAGAGCTGGGGCTCCGAATGACGTCACCGTTCATGTCTTTGGAAATTTTGGCTTAACACAACGCTAACCAACTTTGCCTCCTTCAATCGACTCGTTATATCCAACACACACAAAATTTGGGGAGGTATCTGCTCACTTAATACTATGACGGTCGCACTGCTTCCTGGTGGCAGCCCAACGATCGTCGTCTGTTGAAGATCAGGTCCTATCGTAGAGCAGAGACCTTTGTAAGTGCTCAGTGGTTAGAGCTCGAATTTACTGACCGAAAGGTCCGTGGTTTGAATCCGGCGTCTGTCTCGACTTTGCTATCTATCTTTGGGCGAAGTGATAGTATCCCATCCCTTATGTGTCCTTCTGGTGGCATGGCATTTAGGTACTGAAAAGGTGCTACAACTGAACGACTTCGGGTATTCGGTGGTCCGGACGCAATCGCTCATGGTGTGGGAGTTGCTCTCAGCTTCAAGGCTGAAAGCGCCTTACTGGACTGGATTCCAGCTAACAGTCGTTTTTGCCCTGTGCGGTTGCTGGCTCAGTTAAGATCGGTTCACATCGATGCGACAAACGGTGTTTACTTGTCGTCTCAGCATACGCCCCAGCAGACTGCAGTTCTAAGACTAAGAAGGAAAATCTTTCACGACTACTTCGACAAGTTTAAGTAGCTCATGAACATCGAGCTGACCTGGCTAGAAACGTACTGGAAACGCACAGTCATGCTGACGAAGAGTTGTTGGATGTTGAATGGAAGTGAGTGAATGAAGCTATGATCTCAGCTTTTAGAACTGTTTTTCCAAGCCACCCGACTTGATTAAATGAAGAATGGATGTCATTGAGATCAGCACATCTTGTTGCTGCCAACAAGGCCATACCAACAACAAGCGACTGGTTGCTCATGCAGATTCCTCAAATACCGGATAATCAGGAGCCTGAAAAATGACAACGCTGGTGGATTCCGAAGGCTCAGGAGATGGAGAAGGCCTTCGTTGCAGGCAACAGTCGCGCCCTATTTCACCTGGCTTGATCAACTGGTTAAATGAGGACAGTTGTCAGTGAAGCAATATGTGTAAAAGACGGGACGGCAATTCACTCCCTTAATCCTAGTCTTAAGAGATGCGCTGAGTACAGTTTAGCTGTTCCCATTAAACACATGCTGGAAAAAATCCAGTGGGCCCGACTGGAACGTCAACATCAGCCCGGCATCAACAACAGAAATCCGGCGTGAAATATCAATCCTCCAACATGGCAAAACACCTGGCGCTAATGGTGTGCACCCTGCTTTCCTCAAAGGTGTCTCTGTCATGGTGAGCAGTCTGGCGACCGTACAGGAGAGCATTTGGAACGAAAACAACACAGGATGAATGAAACTCCTCAACCTTCATCCCAGTTTTCAAAAAATGTCACAGGAATGTCATGCGGAAACCATCGAGGCGTCAGCCTGTTATCCGTCGTATCTAAGGTTCTTTCTGGCATTATTTTGCGCATGTTGATCAATTATCGGGAGAGACATATTCGTTAGGTGTAAAGCTGCCAGGGCAGCTTTTGCCTACTTCTAACGCCTATGATATCCGTTTGTCTGTCAAGGACAGTTTACTCTGCGGCAGTGCGATACATATTGCTTTATGGATCAGAAACGTGGCCTCTACGCGCAGAAGACATGAAAGATGCCAGTGTTTGACCATAGGTGACCTTGAAGCGTTGTTCGGGTCCAGTCGGAATATCGGGTTAGTAATACTTAGGTACGTCAGATGGTCCTAGGAAGAGGGACCACTTCCGCGGTAGATGAATTGCTATTACCCTATAGTTTACGCAACTTAGGACGTACTCCGCATACAAAAAGACCATCTTCCTCACGGAGCTCTTTTCGCCCAGCCCTGTGCTGACTGGAAGCGACCGAGAAGTTGACAGTGTATGATCTGGCAACGAAGTGTGATGTCACTAAGCGGCGAACGGACTCGGTTTGGCAAATGCCGTCTCCCTGAGTGGGGACCTCAGGACTCAACTCACCAATGGTTAATGATACTGACAGAAACGACCCTATCGCGCAGTCAGTGGCGCTCTTGCACCAAAGCTATCGCATCCAGTACGTGGCTACCTGTTTCTAGAGCTAACTAAACATGCCTTGCTTGACTCTATATCTTACACTGCCACATTACGGTGATAGAAGATGTAGCAGCTGGAACTAATGTGCCTATGGTACACGGTTTATAGCTGATAAGTTGATTGATTGTTTGATACGGAAGCCAACAAACTCGAGGTTTCTGAATGCTGTTGTCTGAACATTCGACGACAACGGAAAATCTAGTCCGGTGGCTAGAGGGCGCTGTCTTAGTATCCCCCGTTTCCGGCAACCACTGCGGCGGCGGCGACTTCAAGGAGTTGGTCGCATTGCGGTTTCCGTTACCGGAATCTGAACTGTATCACAGTTTTGCAGATCTAGCCCTTAGTCGCCGTTCTTGGCTAGCCACAGTACGAACTATCTGTGAGGCCTACTCATCCCGTTACAGTAAAATCATCTCCATCTTATGTCAATACTTGGATCACCTCATTCCTACCAAGCAACCAACAATGGTCATTATGTAACTCAATGACATCTGAATCCGTTGGTACTCAGAAACAAGTCCCAGCTAACAGGTGAAAGACGAAATCACTTACCGAGTCGGAAATGCCAAGGCAACGTTTGACGATTTCCGACATTTGTAGTACCTACATGACATCAGTTTGACTATCAAGGTCAAGGCATATACCACTGCAGTACGATCTGTTTTGCTTTGTGGATAAGAAATGTCGGCGGAACGGGCTGATGGTCTTTGAAGCCATCGGTGTTGCCGATGCATCGCACGAATCTGATGGAATTAGCAGGAGAGGAGTCATGCTAAGGTTCGCCAAGAGAGCTAACTCTTACCCCTAGAACCTCTGGTCACACTCTATAGGTTTCGCTGCTCTAGGCATTCGTGTTGTATGCTGGGGAAACGTTCGCTCCGTAGGGCTATAGGCACCCAGCCGTGTCGCGGACTGAGATGACCCAGAGGCCACCAGTCCATTATGTAAGAACGAAGTACTCACGTCTGCAACTATCGTCTCCGAATGGCCACGCCGGGGAGAGACAAACTAATGTTTAGTGACTCTGACTGATATGGCCGTGTCATTCAGTCACTTGCGGTCTTGCATCAAAGCTATTGTCTTCACTGGGTAGCCATACCAGGCAAACAGAACCACCTGATATCGATAAGCCAATTGGGCTATCACCTTCCTTGTTCTCCTTATTCTTGCAGCTTGAGCCACCGCAATTCGGTGCAACATCAGGAAGGGTCACATCTACCTTCAGTCTGCTTGTTTTCCGGGCGAACCCCTAATCGAGTTCGCCTTAGAACTGTGGTCGAACACCTGTGTATGGCCGGGGATGGGCTGAGTGATTTAGGGTTATCGTTCCAGCCACACCAAAATACTTTCAAAATACTTGCTAATATTTAGCCTTCTCGTCGTAACAGCATTCCTACTAGGTGACTTCGTGACGGCGGGTATTTTGTTTCAAATGTTTCCCTGGCATTACTCTATTCGAGAAAAAAGCCTTTTGTTAACAATTTCAGATAATTTGCATCTTCAGGTAATTGCGTTAAATTGACAACTTTTCTGGTGACGTGGTTCAACAAACTACCCGTGAAGATTGCCATATTTGCAGCCCAATTTCTGACTTGTTGAACTTTGTGATTGAAAACAGTTAACATCAGCCTGAGAAGTTTCCGGACGGAATTCGGTGAGTTCGTCTTAGTCGTCCATTTGGTTCAGTTCACGACACCATTGTTTTACAGTAGTGACTATCGAGAATCAAGTCTTCGCTCTTTGAGTCCAAACTAACATCGCCGTTTTACCTCTGTGATCACCTAATAGCTACGTGGACGATTTGGGTAGAAATTGCAATTGTACGTAAATTATGTAGATGTTCAATCACAGCTTGACTTCACCGTAGCTCATCCGTCTTTTCCGAAGAAATGACAGTAAGCGGTGATGGAAAGATAGCAAATATTTTCTGTGGGACCTTTTCTACCCCATGATTAAACTAGAATACATCTTCCGTCCATAAACCCTGCAATTTTTCACGAACCAATGCTTCTGTGAGAAGTCAGTGCAACATTAATCTTGGTTTCACTTACAGCTTACTCCAAGCCACAGTTGTTTTCTCTTCATTTTAGGGGATGACCAAAAATGGTCTCATTTAAGAGTTGTCCTCTCTCGTGGAGGCAAGTTGCTTTTGCTCCTATTGGCGGTTTGCTAATTTTCCCGAATGGCTTGCGGTGCCTAAATATCTATAAGTTTCAAGCTATATTTCCCTGCATCTTTGCCATCCCATTACTAGTGGGTATTCTGTTATTTACTCATAAAGGCAATCTAATGAAAATCAAGCCATTTGCAAATCAGTGATGATTTATACCAGTATAGTATGGGAATTTCGTGAACTTCAGCCACATCATGTCTCCATTTCTTACTGGAATTATCATATGGATATTGGTGGGATCGATCACCAACAGAAGTCCTGCTGTGACCGGAATTTTCTGGATCCGATCATACTTTGACAATGAACATCCGGCTACGTTTGGGCGACTTTACTCAGGCTGCAATGTTTTTTCCGCACATAGCTCGGTTCCTCTTTGACTTTATTTAGAGTTTATCACGTAGGCGTAGTTACCGAAACTTATGTCAGTCAATACTCAACTTGAACAGCATTTGGGTTGTAAATTGACTATTGGACGCATGCATCGAACCTTCAGACAGCCAATGTGAAGTACACTATGTTGAAGAGTGCCAACATTTTACAAACTTCAGGAACTCCATGGGACCTTCAGTCTGGGGTTCGCAATATATCCATGTTTTGATGGCTGTGGCGTGTTCATTAGTTTCAGATCAAATGGCGTTCAACCTGTTCGTCGTATGAGCTGTTTACTGTGCAAGCAAATTACCAGGATCAGTGAACAGATGGACAGTCATCTGATCTACACCTATGCAGTGTTCCCGTAACACATTCATTATTTACTGGCAGTTGCGCGGAGTTATAGCCTCTACACGCTCCCCCCTTTAATCTCAGCATCTCACTGATTGCTGATTGATCGTCCTCAATGATAGCCCCTTCCTGTTTGAAACCGTATCAGTAGTGTTTCGGTCGGATTTTTTCTAATGAAACATAAGTGGTAAATCAACTGTTATCATTCATCTACAATACTGATGAAACGCTAAGGCATATCGTCGGTATGACGAAAAAGTTTATTTGTGTTGTCACTTACGAATATCATGGGAAGGACAGCGTGACAAGGACGATAAGCGGAGATCCTTTTCATAAACCCACGAGTGGCAGAATGTCATGTGTTGGGTAGAACAGACAATGACGTAGGACTGAGACATCATCATCGCCGTTTATGTCGATGCACCAACAGTATATGCTGATGTTTAGCCGCCAGGAAGTTAGATACATAAGTTTCAACCAACAACTAAGGTTGTGTTGACAGCTTTAGTCTTTGTAGGTGGGGGCCATGATATGACTTATAAATTGGAACCCAAACCAGTCGATGTGTTGTGTGCAGGCGTACGTTGAACAATAATTTTTCTTTAGCGAGTGGTGTGGTCCTACAGAAGCACACAGGAGCTATCGATTTCACCAAAGTTTCAAAAGATTACACTCAAGCATATTATGTTCACTTAACTTCAATGTAACACACTGTTCAGACCGGTCTTTCACCTTCTGTCTTCACAGATAACGGGACACAAGTCTAACGGACTGGTCCCAATTGCTTGCTAGCGGATGATCAACTTCGTCTACTCTTCAAGATATCGGTTAGTTTGTTTGCTAGCATGGAAGATACACCAACCGATGCTGAAATGGATGATTCGACGTCTAGAAGGAATCGGTTGAGTTTTAGTTTCTCGGAGTCGTCTGAGCCGAACAGCTTACGGAAACCGGGTTAGTATCAATTTTAAATGCCAGTTTTCTCCGCCAATGTTTGTGGCCCTCCTGAATGTGAACCCCACCCTAGAGTGAATGCATTATTTGGTCCCTGAAATGTTTTCTACACCTTTCGGGTCATCATCATCGTCATCACTGTCAACAGCGTGACATCAGTGTTTAACACTGAGGTTTACAATGGAGAACAATCCATTGTTTTCAAATCCGACTCCTGAGTGGGTTTTTCTTGGGTTATTTTTGAGGAGAGGGTTATTGTTTTACTTTCGACAGGCGAAGCGTTTGGTTCATTCCGGTCAGCACCATTGTTGTACAGTAATTGTGCTAACAGGTATGCACAATGTATACATGAATAGACCTAGTGTGACTGGCGTTCTGTTTGTTGGCTCCTTTAGTCTCAACATTGTCTTGAAATTTCACGTCACGCGTTAATGACAGCATATTCAGGAGGATATTCCAGGAGGAACTATTTCACACATCGACGTGGATGTAATCGATAGACGGCCTGAGGAACTAAACGGCGTACCGATTGAATCATGTAGCAACAATCTTTTGAGTGGGGTGTACTTTCTATGCTGTGCATCCTCTGTGGGACTTGCGGACGCTCTAGGGCGAGGTGGTATAACCCTTTGCATCTTTACGGAGCCGTTCATCATGTTGCTTGCTTTTTAATGTACTATTTGCCTCGAACTGGCAAACCACCAGCGAACGCGGATAGTTCTGATGGCAAGCCATCAACGGATGATGACTTCAAAATATTCATCTGAGGATACCATATTTCTGAGTCTACAATTGTGTTAGAGCTGACCACGTGGCCATCGTCCTATAGTCTAAACAACATAAATCTGTGGTGTGGCATGGTTTTGACGTATTACTGCTACATGCTAGTAGTTTGGTTGTTCTTGCCACTTACCCGCCTTATCATGCGGTGATTCTTTGAAGGTGGCTCTTTCATACGGACTGTTCCGCCTATCTCTTGACGCTAGCACGCCGTTTGAATTTCTGGTGGCTGTGGCGCTTGAGTGGTCGGACCACCAAACCACTGCTCGCATACACAGCTTTAACATTTTTATTGTACCCACCTAACTGGAAAGTCGGTCCTTCGACTGGCCACGCCGGTGGCATTAGAACTCCTCGTTTTTACTCACCCTCCGTTTGTTCAGCTGGTTTTACTTGCGGCCCACTGCAAATAGCCTTTGGCGTTGCGCACGCGACTGAAGAGTCGGTCGACCTAGTTCGACGTGACAGGCTGATCTACTAGCGGATACTTGCCGAAGTGCTGTTGGAGAGCCTGATTGGCAGAGTCCCACCATCGACAACATGACATCAGTGTTCAACATTGGTGCTTCGCTTCCGTAATAGTAATGGTATTGGTGATGGAATAGTAATGATGGGGAGAAAGAGGTGAGTGATGTTCGGTGTAAAACTCAAGATTATTTCTATTCAGCAGGGAGTTACTTATTGGAATAGCTATGAAGAAACACTCGTTACCAACAAAGAACCATCCCATAAGACCTTCATGTTCAAGATGGTATTCCTCCTGTGTTTATTGGATGTCAATCGTTTCTGCAAAATGGACATCATTGCATTTGAATATTTTTCATGTGTGAATTTGAATGGCATATTTCTGTTTAATTTTTGTTTTTCAATCATTAGTCCAACTATGGAAGCATGCCCTGCACAAAATACGTTCGATCGACTTGGATCCTTGGGTTGACTTTCATACTCACAATCTCACTACCCGTCCCGCTGTCCGACATCGATATAGTGCGATAAAAAAGAAATGGGTTGTGGATGAGATTCAGGTCAAGATGGAACAAACCCCTTTTGATCGTGGTGCAATGCGCGAATGTTTTCGTCTGTAAGTTTCTAGTTTCGGGTCAGATGAAATACACCAGCAGACTGCCAGTTTTTACCTGTTTGGCTTATTTCGCAGTTTGAGTATCTATACTCCTTGATATAGAGTTCCTCAAGTTTATGGCACTTCCTCTTAGATGTCCTTTGATCGGTCTCAGTAGAGGAGTGTAGATCCGAATCACAGTGAAACCCAGGTACTACTACGTGTCATCCGTGCATTTTTTACTTGGTTACCTCCAGTTACAGGTGCGTTTTGTGATGCTTGTCAAAGTGTCGAACTTTTAGTCGCTCAGGTGCGTTTATTGGTTGTTGATCAGGCGGTTGTGCAGTACGTGCACCGATGTCTCCTCGTTTGGTGACAAAGCGGTTGTAAGATGATTGCCAATCTCGGCGAACAGATCAACAGCCACCTGGTAAACAAACGGTATTTTATGTTGCTTGTCAAGATGTACAGTACTGCTTTTGTGTGGTTTTCAATTTCAACCTTTCCAACTCCTTCAGGTTTAAAATATGATGGTTCCTCAAGAGGGTTTACTTTCTTATTGAATTGAAACGTGAGGTTGACGGAAACTCTGAGGCTGCCCTAAGAAGTGCGAAGCCGGTCGTGAGCTATCCAAGAGTTTTCAGCAACTTTGTGAGTAGTGTTCCTTCAAAAAATGCACTTCAATATCTGGAATATCGTACCAACAGAAATACGATAGGATCGTTTTACAGTACATTCGGTTAAAGATGGGCTCAATCGAAATGTAATTTCAGTCTGTCTGTACAACAACCCAGTTTCTGTCCAGCTTATAAGCCCCAAGAGGGACGAAACCGGTCCTAAGTTGTGTGATATTTTTCAGCAGCCTTAGGAGAAAACTCAATTCGCATTGGAAGCCAAATGAAGCATGAATGAATTTAACCGAAGTGTGACGGAAACGAATTCCCGGCTTGAACCACTGTACTGCCAACGTTTATGACCAACAGCAAAGTTCAAGTTGCCTGACTGTCGCACATGCTGTTGGTCTTAAGTATAAGGTTTGACAACCCTTACTAAACCCCATTGTTGATCCTTGCCATGATACATACTTTCGTCTACCTTTGAAAATAGTTATACTGTTTTGACCACTAAGTGCGCGTCTAGTGGAGGGATCAAGTAATACTTAGCTTACTTCCCCTCCCACGAAGACCTCATAAATAGCAGCGTAAAACCGTGCAATTGGAAGAATAATGGATAGAATAAATAGCTCGAACCTACTCCAAACTTAATTCGATAAATTAACATCATAGACAAGAGATTCAGCTGGGTTCCAGGTGAGTCTCCCGCAAAACCAAATCGGTTTGTAAAGGTGAGTCTCCGCAAAACCAAATCGGTTTGTAAATGAGTGTATTTCGTTAACACAGACTGTTTAGACACCACGTAATTTTTTTACCCGCCAGCACAACTAACAAGAAACTGGTGTGGGACTGGTATGCCTTATAAAAACTCTTTGGAGCAAAATCGACATTTTCTGCTCAGCAATTCCAAAAAGTGCTTTGCCGGGCCTCACTTTCATTTCAGTTCTCGTCAAGCCCAAACAAGTGGTACCATGTAACATCTGTCTCGTTCGTCAGATCTCTTCAGTGTTATTTGATTGGTGGTCATGGTGTCGGTGGGTCTAATTGACGGATGGGGATTAAGGTTGATTTTTTAAGCGTTTTATGGGCACATAACTCTTGGAGCTTAAAAGCATAAGTGCGCCTCATTCGTGTTTTAACCTGAACTTATCTTTTATTCGGTGACTCCGTGCTTTGGTTTGGTCACCTGGAGGCTGCCAAACACTAAGTTTATCAATCGATGCCTGGCGTGTTTAATTGCGGAGTGAAATGAAAACGGGATGCTACTGAACTCGTGTCTCGAAAAATGTTAAATTCGGTCTCTTTTAGTATGTAGAATTTCAATGGTTTTCCGTTCCGGACTCAGCGGCCGCTACATCTTGTTATATTTTGGGGAACACAAGGAATTGAACAAAACTTGTACGTCTGAAGACAGCTCGTGTATAGCACTCTTGGTATATCTGTTACCTTGGCAGCGTTACTTGACGTAATTGCTTTATAGTTTCTATATTCAGACCGTCATGTGTGTTTTGTTTACTGTGTAATGATCACGTCGATTAGGAGTACCTTGCCCAGTTTATACCCATACACAGCCGTCTTTTCTTACCTGCGCATCCTGTTAGATTGAGGAGAAAGTAAAAGACCAAGGGATAGTGTCATAAGGTTGGAGGCAATCTTAGCTACTCTACAAAACATGCAGTGTCTCTAATTTTTAGTGCCTTTCAACTGCTCATCGGTCAGTCAACACACGTTCAGAATGTCCCGATGATTTTCAGTACAATCCCCAACAATGGTTTGTTGGAGGTATCCACCAATCGTTTCACTTTTAGATTTGATTGTTGATTCTAAGGCCATTCTAATAGCCATTGTCCTGGTGACAGGAAACCGGGAGTTGTGTTGGGTTGGCTGGCGCCATTGTCCAAGAACTGACCATACTGGACTTCAAAAAGATTGGATTCAGTCATACTTTTAGAGTCGTGGTATGAGAGGTGTCGCGGTCAATGAAAAATATTTATGAAGGCATCCACTGGGAATATGTGACGTGGACTATGGTTCCGCAAAACCATTGCAAAATTGTCACTAAGGATTTTCTGAAATAGGCCATAAACAAAATTTCGTAGGTGTTGGCAGAGAGTGGAATTCGATATTTGTGTGAACAAGTTCTTTCTGGCAGGTTGACTTTTCGATTAGCAGACCTGACCGTGGGCTGGGATCTTCGTGTGATTGACTCCAGGGTGATATTTCAAGGGCAGCATTCGTCCATTCCGAAGGCATGTCCTCACGCTAATCTACTTAGAAGGAAATACCTTCTTCAAGTCCGATGAATATTTCCCTGGTAAATTGTCATTCGGGGGTTAATCGGAATGTGGTTTCATGTCATACCCTACTTGTTTGAATGCTACGTGACACCATACTCTTCCTACGTACAACTTATTCACACTCCCTTTCGTAAATTACGAGTAGTGTTAAAATTCTTACCCCCGTAAACTGCAGGTACTGATTCCCGCAGAAATTCATTTGGTGTGCACTGGTATTAAATTCTGGCAAGGATGAAACAAAAGTACACTTCACTCAGTGGGCGTTTTTGAACATTCAGACATTGTCAGCAATTGGTCCAGTGGAGCACACCTACCCAAGAGAAGTATGTTCACATACGCCGTCGGGCTGAGAATATGAGGAACAACCAGGGGATATTCACGACTAAACCATACGCCAGCTCCTGTCTTCCTTGCTACCAGACATGGTGATGATGATATCTGAGCCACCTGTTGCGTTTGTCAGCAGTGTTCCAGTTCAGGCCTCTTATTGAGGTAATAGGCCCTAGAAGTTTGGATGTCGCGCTGAATCTTCAATCTGCTCATCGGCACTTACTTTAAGGATGAGCTATCCGATTTAGGAAAGCGGCAATTTATTGCAAGTTATCAAACGAAAGTCCGACTACAGACTACACGAAATCGGTCAGAGCTGTCATCGCACATTGTTCACTCATGACAATTCCTGTGATTGGACTGTAATTTGAAAGGAAGCCTATTAGATATACAGATATGATTAGTGCGCAAGGGCGCAAAGTGCATTGTGTGAATAAGTCTTTGACTTTCTTGAGTCTGGAATGAAGGCATACCAACCTCGATTTAAGCCATTGGCTTATCAACCACATACAATCATTGAAGTAGAATGACCGCATTGTTTTGCGTGATCGTGTCCTCGTTTACCTTTCGGTACATTTCAAGTTAGGTATCCCATTTCCTTATGGGTGTTAAATTTGCGGGAAATCGTCTTACTTTGTATGAGGATAACATAACTCGCGCATTCACGCAACATTTTAAGGCCACATTATTCGCAATAATTCTCATACAGAGACCCTTTGAAGGAACCTCGTTTAGTCCACAGCTAAATCGTCATCCGGGGGAGGGGGCGATTACTTATTCTCAGAGGGAACCGGTAATTATACTTAGCTTACAACAATTTATGAATATTTGTCGTGTTTTTGTTTCAGCGATCAACTCAGGTATCGTAGCAACTGTTTTGAAGATTTGTTTTGAATATGCGGTCGTAAAACACTTATTGTGCCGGAACACTATTAAAGCCTGACAATCTTTTACAACAGCATAGAGGCGTCAAATGAACTATGAATTTCTTCATTTTCCCCATTTTAACTTCTTCGTCTTGCGGTCTGAACGTAGTCGGGACAAACAACAGTATATATGGAGGCTTTTATCGTTTAGACTGAAACAGAGGCTATCATCGTCTTCGCACCAGTGGTGACAACGTAGTAGGGATCCAGGTATTGAGACGCATATACACATCTCATCCCACACTGGTGGCTTAAACTTGGACGCATCAGCTGATTTCATCCTGTTTGGTCTATAGCCCGTATACTCTGCGTGCGTGAATTTGTGCAGATCCTATTCATGCAGTCACTAATTGTAGTCGGCTCTTTGTTTCAGTGGTCCCAAAGCTCATTCTGAATAGTCCGTTGTTTTGCTTCCTTGATTCCGTCATGAATAAAACTGCCAGATATGAGAAACTGAATGGAGCTCCACTAACCCACCGAATCATGCACTTGCCAAAGCCCTTGTAGGGGAGGGATTTTTTGGAAAGCATGCGAAAACTTCATAAAGGAAACTACTCACAAGTTTGCTGAAAACTCTTCGTAGAATATCACAAACGAGAGATTCAGTTGAGTCTCTCGTGAAGACCAAATTGATTTGCATATGCGAAAACTTGTTCACCTTAGAGGCCTTTCAACGCTATGACTTTTCTACTGCATTTCCAAAGCAGGTCATAGGATGCTGTAAGAGAGGATCACCATGTTATTGGATGGGGTTGGTTTTTCGCTAGCATGTTGTGGAACTGTTAAAAACCTGGCCCAGGGTTCACACAAACGTGACTTTGAAGAATTTGCGTAAACTTTTTTTATATGTAACATGGGTGTGGCAGAATTATAGAACAACAGTAAGATGAAGGGAGCTGTCAATGATGTATTCCAATCATTCCAATCATTTCGCGCTTTTGGTGAGTGTTGAAGTGAGATTCTAACAGTGGCACGACAAAGTTATGGAGAGCTGGTGGCTTCTGGTGATAAATTACCCCGTTTTTCATCTTGGAATTTGTGCAGTTCGGGTGATGTTTCTTCTCGTGCTCACGGATATCCGTTCGTCAACTCATTTTCTGTGTCACGGATGTTTGCACCCTTGGTGTCAAGTTTAGGACCTGTTGTTGTTCACTCCAAGAACCTCACGCTACCGATGGGAAGCCATCTCTGAGAGTTGTGAATTGTTAAGTTTTTCTTCAGATATCCCATAGCTTTACCTGCTGTAGCAGTGAATGGTAGTAGTCTTCTAGTATGAGATTCTTGGATGCCATCAATACTGAGACCTCGGTCAGTTCACCGGTTATAGAATCGTTTCAAATCAATTGAGAGTGCATTACCCTTACTTCGTGTCGGTGAGAGAATCATTTAGAGTTGCAACAACAAAAATCATTGTGCAAAAAGGGTTCCAGATTCCATGCCACATATTGTGAACGGAAGGTTCCATAGGCTGGAGTTACTGACGGATCGATATCATTATAGGCTGAGGAGGGTGAGCTTACTATAAATAGATCAGAGTTTCGTTCGGAATGCTGGTTTGAAATATCTATTCTCAGTCGGAGGAACAAGAAAGTTAGCATTACTGACCGGCATCCAGGAAATTAGAGGACACGAAAATAATTATTTTCGCCACTCCGGACACGTGTAGGTAAATGAGTCGGATGTTTCAAAATGACAACAGCCCCTCGTTCAGTCAGGATCGATGTAACTTACATTCTTTATCCCAACTCGACTGAGAGCCCGTGGGGCTTACTAGCACATCTGGTGCACAAGCACGTAAGTGCCTGTGTTGCCTTATAGCGAGAATGGCAGCTAGCTTTTGTCGACATTGACATTGGAGTTAATATGACAAAACCGGTAGTCCTATGGGTGTTTTGCAGCGTGCACAATTTTTGAGTCATGCGGTATAGGTGCAAATATAGGGCACTGGAGGGAAACCTTCCCCTGTCCGAAAGCTGTTTTGTTCGAATCTTCATTCAGGCTACTAATCATTATCCTCATTGCGAATAAACGGTTACGTCATTAGTATTGATCCGACTCCGTAGTGCACCGAACACTAAACAATCCACATTGTTAAGTAGATGTGCACTTGATAGGCCGGTGCTGTAACAGTTTTTTCGGCGTTCTTGCAGTTCATGCGCTTCACCCGGGTGTCAGGGAATGAATTTTTATTGGAGTCTAGCGGTATCTTTCGCGTTCCATATGGTCGCTTTGAGTGACTGTGTAATTCCAACTTCTCTATCGTAGAACTTATTCGATCTCACGTCCAAGAGCTTTGCCTAACCCCTCTTCCAGGTAGGTTTCGGTGTGTTCACCCGTGCCGATCTAAAAATCTATGCATACAACTGTTGAGCTCGGTTGTGAACTTGGGTACAGTGCAACTTGCTCTAACTGCGCATATCGCACAGATGGCGGACAACAGCTGGTGTCATTTTTAAAACTTTGGCACTACATTACCTTATATTTCACACGAATGATCCGTTTTGCTATTTGTTAAGATCAATTTATCAAGTACGTTACCATGTCTGATAGCTTTCGCATTATTCGACCTGGAAGTTGGAAGTTCAACTCGTTTTTAACACAAAGCATGCAACAAGTACACTACACCCTTCGTGAAATACACTCATTTGGACACTCATCTAGGTCTGGCAGGATAGTCAGCTAAATTCTAGCTGATGATATTCTTGAGTGATGATGATATTCTTGATATTCTTGAATTAAATGTGCCGCACAAAGACCGTCTCATGTCTCATTTTGTACGATATTCGAGTTGTGGCATGTGCTACTTATAAAGTTGCTGAAAACTCTTGAACGGCCCACGGTCGATTTCGCCCTTCTTGAGGCTAAGCAGACGGTCGCCATCCCCGAGTTTCCGTCAACCTCGTGTTCCGCTTGAATCCAACTTGGACACAATTCGCAAAATACACTCATTTGCAAACTAATTCGGTTTAGGCGGGAGGCTTATTTAAATTCGGGCTGAATCTTTCGTTTATGATATTCTGGTATCCAAAACAGATCAAGAAAAAAACAAGTGCTTGGACGCATGTCGGAAAATTTGTTCATCCCGTGGGACAACAGTTGGTCAATCTTACTGATGGTGCTCAGGATTATGCATCGTATCGAAGCATGATAGAGCGACTGAGAAGTTTCGAATGAATAGGTTGATAGCCATTGCCAGGTATGGCGCGTAGTCCAAAGCAGTGTGTATCAGAAAGCAATGGGGTAAAGATCCGCTTGTAGACTAAGATGCTTCCTGCACGGAATGCATCCTCTCTCATTTATAGGAGACCCAACACCTTTGTACCCCGTAAGGAAAATCGTGGACATTCTTGAATTATCGGGCATTCTTTTCAAAATGTTGACAACACATGTGTTTAATGGTGCTGTCTGTTTTTAAAATCCTTGTTTGGGATCAGGAAACAACTTTCCAATACTCTAGGTAAATTCTGAATTCCTTTTGGGTAGAACCTCCAGTTGAACAGTACCTCAAAGTTAGAAGCGCTCCCATACGGTGCTTCCCATATAGCGTACTTTATGTACTGATATGCTTTTTGTTGTAATGAAGGGGATCGGATCGCATCTACATATGTGCCAAATAATGTTCCCCTTCGTAATTCACCAACCTCGTAGACGATGTCCTGGTGTTTTCCTGTTGTTATTCTCAGTAGTTACCGCTCATCAAATTCTCCAAAAACAGTTTAACCCAGGAATTAATCCCCTAACCAGTAATGTAGTAGGTCACTGTAGCGCACGAGTGGCTAGGCGAAGTTCACTTAGTATTTCAATGCTGTTCATACGGTCGACGAAAGGTTTACCACCGGTTTCGTCCCTTGGGCTTACTTACGATATTCGAGTTGTGGCATGTGCTACTTATAAAGTTGCTGAAAACTCTTGAACGGCCCACGGTCGATTTCGCCCTTCTTGAGGCTAAGCAGACGGTCGCCATCCCCGAGTTTCCGTCAACCTCGTGTTCCGCTTGAATCCAACTTGGACACAATTCGCAAAATACACTCATTTGCAAACTAATTCGGTTTAGGCGGGAGGCTTATTTAAATTCGGGCTGAATCTTTCGTTTATGATATTCTGGTATCCAAAACAGATCAAGAAAAAAACAAGTGCTTGGACGCATGTCGGAAAATTTGTTCATCCCGTGGGACAACAGTTGGTCAATCTTACTGATGGTGCTCAGGATTATGCATCGTATCGAAGCATGATAGAGCGACTGAGAAGTTTCGAATGAATAGGTTGATAGCCATTGCCAGGTATGGCGCGTAGTCCAAAGCAGTGTGTATCAGAAAGCAATGGGGTAAAGATCCGCTTGTAGACTAAGATGCTTCCTGCACGGAATGCATCCTCTCTCATTTATAGGAGACCCAACACCTTTGTACCCCGTAAGGAAAATCGTGGACATTCTTGAATTATCGGGCATTCTTTTCAAAATGTTGACAACACATGTGTTTAATGGTGCTGTCTGTTTTTAAAATCCTTGTTTGGGATCAGGAAACAACTTTCCAATACTCTAGGTAAATTCTGAATTCCTTTTGGGTAGAACCTCCAGTTGAACAGTACCTCAAAGTTAGAAGCGCTCCCATACGGTGCTTCCCATATAGCGTACTTTATGTACTGATATGCTTTTTGTTGTAATGAAGGGGATCGGATCGCATCTACATATGTGCCAAATAATGTTCCCCTTCGTAATTCACCAACCTCGTAGACGATGTCCTGGTGTTTTCCTGTTGTTATTCTCAGTAGTTACCGCTCATCAAATTCTCCAAAAACAGTTTAACCCAGGAATTAATCCCCTAACCAGTAATGTAGTAGGTCACTGTAGCGCACGAGTGGCTAGGCGAAGTTCACTTAGTATTTCAATGCTGTTCATACGGTCGACGAAAGGTTTACCACCGGTTTCGTCCCTTGGGCTTACTAAGTGGGACCAGCCCCCTTATTCCCCATCAGCCTTAGCTCTTATTTGAACACCAAATAATACCTACGTTGTGGTAGAGACTTATTTGCAACTTGACGTTGATTTTACGGGAGATTTAGATGGTTTTAACCCAAATCTTCCGTCTACATTATTATTTAACTAACTGCTGCACGAAGGTCCCTTCATTTTCTAAGTTAGACGATGTTCAAGATATCTGTGTTTCGTTGCCAGACACAGTATATTTTCTCTGGACGTAGCCTTGACTACTTTTTCACTTCAAATCTAATATCGAACCACCATACAGAACCGATTTCATGGAAATACGGGAAGCCTCTTCTACAACAGCCACCGCTCCACAGTAGTCACGTTTGATGTGTATTGTCTAACTTCAGTCGATGCGTCTATAGAATAAGTTTCCGCCTTTCTACTAAGAACTGCGACGGCATATTCACGCCCATGATAGCCAGGTTGATGGCTAAACTCAGGTGTTATTATAAAACTCTCATTAATGGCCCTGTATGAGTTTATTGCACCTGTTACATCGTCTGTCCCTCTGGAGCAATCGTTTTCAGTTGGTTCTTTCAGTGGTCTCTGTAAAGTGTTTTGCTGTATATACGTAGCAGTCCAGGTTCAGCAATCATCTTCACTTTGGTTACTGATTATTTGACCAACGGACCATAATCACTTCAGTTATTCTGAGATAACTTGGTGGGTTTTTGTGACAGGTTTTTCTTTTCCGAAGCACGCAGTCTGTTTTGACTGTAAGTATTGTTAACGACACCGCAGCTTGCCTGTAGCGCCATCGACTTCCTACGTGAACTTTTTCGCCTTACAGTAAAAAGTTGCCACAATCAGGACCGCATGCGGGTGACTGGCACTTTGCTTCAAACTATGTGGCAAAACGCTACATAAATCACGTTGACAAACGGGTCTACTTTGACGACGTGCGCCTTCAAATGGAAGCAAAATTGTGGGGTGAGGCGTTCAATCGACAGAACCCACCAAAAAAGGCGAGTATACTGTGGTAATAATGAAACCTTTTGCTTTGGTGCGCTTGAGTTCACAATGTTACTGTACGTGTTGTATTCTCGACTTTGTTTTTAATCCCAGGGGTGTAGGCTTGTTTTTATTATCAACCCCCATACCAGTCCTTTGAGGCGTTTTATATTTGGGTCGTTGGATGAATGCACCCGGATGATCAACTTTGACGTTGAAGCAAGCTGGGAAACGTAAAACAGCATGTGCGCCGCACTAACCCATCTTACTACGATACCAAATAAGATAGGTCGTAAGTCTTCGTGAACGTCCTCGTTAATTCAGCTTAGCTCCGTCATCGTTCTCATTGGTTGTTTCACCAGCGTCGAACACCGGTACCTCACTACTGAGTGCTAGTTCCATTATGATTTCTGCACATTTCTGCGTCCTTGATGCAGAGACTACTGTTTTATGACCAGCAAAGTGACGTGAATGTGGGACTGGTTAGTATTCCATGCATCAGCCCCATACCAGCTGTCAGAAGATGAAGGTTCTACAAGGCAGAGTAGAGCAGTTGCAATGTCGCAATAACCACAGGAATCATTTGAGTGCACGTGGTGTAAAGATATTTTTGTGCGCACTCATTTGAGCACATTCTGACACATCACATTCTGTCTTTCATTTGACAACTGATTGGAAAGCATACATTTATCTGATACAAATTCAGTGGATAAGCTCCTGATGTTAAGAATTCCAATTTATAAAATAGGGCCAATGGAGAACGGTTGGTGTGGCGACATCATTCCTGGGCATGGTGACACCAAACTGGTAATGCATGGATACTCGAAAACCTATCCCGTACTACTTCAGATTGAGTTCAGCTCGCAGTTGTTTTTTGTAACCATTGCTTTAAAGCCATACACTTATAACTGTTGTTTGTATTTTACAAAATGATCTCAGTAAGCAATGTAAGTAGGCATCCTTTACAATGGTGAGGTGCTATTCCGCTTCCATCTTGGTGTGAATCCCGAAAGTCATTTATCAGTCTCTATGAAACTCTGAACTGTACATCACGGATATTCCGAAAGCTCTGATGTGTTTTGGGATGCACTGCACCATTGGTCCGTGCATTACGTACTTGAGACTACTCACCCGTGTTCTAATAGCGTATCTTAAGACGATAGATCTAACCAATCGAGAAAAGTTGTATTTCCAGGAAGGGGTAGCAGCAGCTAATTACACCACATCTGTCCAGTTGTGTCTGGGTCACACAATTACCGGCTGTTGGACAGGACGAATTCGCTCATTCGTGTGACCTTCGAGATCACCAGATTTAACCCTACTTGACGTTCTTTGGAGTGGATTGAAGTTTGTTATGCTTGTCCCCACACCACATTCTCATGGAGTCAAAGCCTGTGCACTTGGAGCAGTCTTGTAGTGTACCTTACTTGCAGTTGGGTAATTTTATCCAAGTTAGAGGCAATAGTTTAAATATATGAATCCATGAGAACAAAAAAGCTCGCTTTATAATATCATGGTGTTTTGTCTTTTACAGCAAAGTTCTTAGGGCTATGGCTGACTAGGTTTGTTTGTACAGGAAGGAAAACGGGTGACTTTAATTAATCAGGTTTCGGTACTCGAATCTCGCTAAGGTAGACTACTAGAACTGAGGTCCCTGACGGAAGCTGCCGCCATGCACGCTCCAGTGGTTTAACCGCTGTTGTTGGTATGAGTGTGTGATGTTCTACATCAGTATGACATGTTTTGTAACTTTTCCCGTTTTAGTGCTCACGGAACGCTTACAAAACGAGAGTTCGTGGTGGCGTCTTGCATAATGAACTAAAGTTTTGTGGGCTTTTGCTCTCAGTGATCCTGGTGAAATTGTGATCTTGAGAATTCATATGGACCCTTATCAGCTGTGGACAGCTGGCTGCTTATTTCTAAACTTCCGACGATGGGTTTGATACGGACGAATTTTGTTACCGCCTTCCGACTGAAAAAGCGGGTAGTGTACCGTTTACATACGTTTATCACAAATCCGATATGGCCAGTGGTAAACACAAGTTTGTCACAGCATCGATCTCCCAGTGTTTAGCTTAAAAGTGTGCAAATACTAGACGAACACCGCTACAGTGGTATAGGTAGTTCGTTTGGCTGAGCACTAGATTGCATGTAACCTACCACTTATTATCCACTTTCCTAGCGGAAACAACATCGGTTTCAAGGGTTGTCAGTACAAACTGTGTTTAGCGTACCGGAACGGCTAGTTTTATCAGCACATGGGCTCACTCGTTTAACGAGCACGTTTCTCAACGAAATATGCCACTTCTAATTTTTCAACTTCGATCGACATTCACTCACGATCGGCAGTCTTGTGTGCATATCTCAGCTGTGTGAAAGTCGTATTGTCCTCGTGCTCGCTAATGTTTGTTATCGCATTTGGCTGATACACAATACAGCATTCAGTCAAGCCGAGCATGCGTGTGTATGAATATCAAATCGCGAGGGACTTTCAAGCGGTCTGTCGTATTAGTTTGGAATCTTTGTTTCTTCGCGCCATTTAAACATGAGTTTGTCACTTTTTCCCTTGTTCTCTCTTCCTGGCTCTTCAGGTTGATATTTTTCAACTCTCCATTCTGGAAATACGTGAAGCAGACAAACCTTCACAGGACATATCGTCGAACATCGAGGATGTTGCATGCTTCTACCATATAGAACGGTTCATGGAAGGCGAATACCGAAAATACAACTCTAATACCGGTTTTGTCGATGAGCAGCTGCGCAATACACCCCAGGTACTAAGATTATTTTGCCCTTCATCCGTAAATAGCAGAGTTGTTAATTTTAAATGAAGGTTCTTAACATGACGATCACATGGCTTCGCAATTCACATATCGATTCTTCATTATCATCATCAAATAATACCTACCGACGCTTAGCTGCCACAATCACAAGGGCAGAATGCCCTAGTAAGGAGTGCAAAGTCCTATTTCTTCAGAAAAAAAACAACCAGAACTGGGGTACCTGCACCTCTGATAATCACCGCAATGGACGCTATATCTCGATTAATCTCCCTGTATGTTATCTTCATCAGTCAATGTGGATTGCAACATACGAGTGGAAACCGGTGTTCAAGGGCCGCACAACCATGGAGAACGCACGATTTAGTAAAGAGTGAAAACGCCTCATTTTCTTCGTAGAAACAGTCACCAGAATGGCGCCTAAGCCTTCCGGCACGAAGGAGTGCAAGTCCTATTTCTTCAGAAAAAAAACAACCAGAACTGGGGTACCTGCACCTCTGATAATCACCGCAATGGACGCTATATCTCGATTAATCTCCCTGTATGTTATCTTCATCAGTCAATGTGGATTGCAACATACGAGTGGAAACCGGTGTTCAAGGGCCGCACAACCATGGAGAACGCACGATTTAGTAAAGAGTGAAAACGCCTCATTTTCTTCGTAGAAACAGTCACCAGAATGGCGCCTAAGCCTTCCGGCACGTCATAAGTAAACAAATCTGAGCATCATTTTGGGTCTGGGCGCCTCCAGTGGTATTGGCATAGCGTCCTTTGATAATCTTACTCATTCCAAACCGAGCGTGGCAGATAAACTTGTGCTGTGCAGCCAGGGTTAGACATGATGACAAGGTCACCACAAATATCGGCCACGTGCCATGTCCATACTTACGATGTATCACGTGTACCCCATCTGAAAAGGCGCGAGAATCCCACAGCGCTTCATTTGACGGTAACCGCTTTCATTTCGCTTCGGATTCAGCTGTGCAATATTTATTAGTCTTTAGCATAGTATTTTTTTAGGCCTTCATGAGATGATGTATAGAATTGACATGGCAACAGGTCTCCGTGATTCGATGACCCATGATCCATGCTTTCGGTTAGTCTTGTCTAGGCCAGCGAAGTAGCCTGCATGCCTCCTTCAGGTTATACACAAACCCTGAGGTCCCAAACATTGTACTCCATCATCATAAGAAAACCTTTCTAGGCCACCTAGACTGCCAGCTTTTAGGTATTGATAACTAAGGGAGTCAGCTCAAATTGTCGTCATATCACCATAATACAGGTACTCGTGGATTCTGCAAACAGTTGGGTATGAAACCTGTTGAGTTTTAAAAGAATACTCATATTTTTATGGAAACTTTCGGAGTTTTGATTTTTAACTGGCCCGCTTACCGATGGCCCTTACAACTTATCAAATATAGTTTCCCCTCCTTTGGGCTAGTTGCTCAACCGGTGGATTACAATAGCTTCTCTTTCTATCTTCACCGCATTGATTGGAATGCCGGATGAGCAATCAACTACACCACTCTTAAGCTACATAGCTGAGCATACGTGTCTTTGAAATGACTGGTGCTAGGTCATTGTGCATTCTACAATGATGATTTCTTAAGTACAGTGGACGTCATTGATCATGGTCTGGAACTGTTGAAAGTCGTTAAGTTCGTGTTGGACTTTCATCTTTGGTTGCGTGCGACCGACGAAGTTGACATTCTTATGGCCGCATACAGAGAGTTATCAGGTTTTTCTAATAGCGTCCGTGAACTTTTATGGAATAGAACGAAACATGTTTCCCTCTGTCGTTCGAGACAACCCGGATCTGGACCCGAATGCGCTATCCTTACTCCATTTGTTCTGCTATTGTTTTCAGAAGACACTAGACTCTAGGATTTTCTTGATCCGATGGAATCCTTCGTTATATTGGTTTTTGTGTTTTTGCATCTCAGACTCGTTTCAGTTTATAGCTAAGCTGTCTTGGCTACTGTTCATTCTTGCTGCACAAAATAAGGGGGCGATCTCTACAGAACTGCCTATAAAACATTGTAGGGATGATTGATCAATCGCCCTAACCTATCCCGATAAAGGCCCAAGTAGCTCGACTAAGGTTTCCCCGTTTGGTCGAGAAAATAGCGAATGTGAAGCAACTGTTGTTTCGAAAATTTGCCATCGAAATTACCTATGCAACCAGCTGTAATCTAACTTTTTACGAAGTCAAGGCTTCATTTCGTACTTGCCAAGTAAAACAAACAGCGCTCTGGATTCCTTTTGTAACCCAGAGACAAAGGGCGTAGCTGGAATGGCATCTCTGTACGTGTCTCAAGTCAGCATTTCGAAGTAACTGCGCCGCAAATTTAAGTCTGATATGGTGGCTAGTTACAGTGTTCAGTGTTGATCGTGATGCGGATGTGCAAGGGGTAGATGTTCAGAGGATTTCGAGAAGACATTGGGTCTATGAAATCTTCACAAACCATGCAAAATTGTTTTCAATCCAAATGAATACCAGCTTTATCAGGAGCCTTGATTTCGCAGAAGAAAGGAGATATTCCCCACGGAAACACTAGCTTCAAAGAATCCATGTTATCCAGAAGTACTGTTCCATACAAATTTGATCTGACTTTTCTGTTACCAACTTGCATGCTTATATCTCGACCTCTTGCTTGTTATCACCATTCGTTCTTGTCGTAACTCTGTTCCAAACTAACCAGGTGTTTCTCATCAGCACGACAATTGTGACTCAAGCCATGTGGCCGGTTTAAGTAGTTGCACGATCTTTTTTGGTACCTATTTGCCGGTGGTAATTCTCAAAGGGAACTCTTTTCTGTCCTCTTTTTCGTATGAGTTAGTGGAAGTTTCTCATGAGGTGATCTATTTCTAGATGGGTTAACCGTGGCGCATGACTTCAAAGCCGATAGATGTGGATATTTGATAAGGTTACCAAATGAACTTCATGAATTTAGAATTCCCAAGGTTGATTATGCCTTCTTTTGTTTTGTCTTTCTGAGTTGTTTTCCATTCATATCACGCCACGTGGATTTGGTCGTCTACACGAGCCACTTATCCAGTCAGTCACCAGAACCCAAATGTCAAATACCACCTGACTAGCGTAGTTGTATTATTACTCTTTTTCTGTCAATTGGAAAATGTTTGGGACCGATTGGGAAGTCATCGTTTCAGAGAGTCTTGATAAACAACACATCCACCGGTTGTTTATCAAACCTTTCTGAAATGAAAAGCGGAATATTGTCGGGTTATACAAACAAACGTGCAGTCGTAACGTCTTTAGCGGGTTTCGAGCTGTTTGCACAATAGGGTTGCTGGACAACTTTCCAACAGAACGTAACACTCAAATCCGAAGTGAGTAACAGCACTCAAAATGTTCATTCAGTCCGGTCTTTGCGCTCCTCCTTCGTTCTCCCTTAGTTTCCTGCATTCTGTTTTAGGTTGAAAATTGAGTGCATTTAATTAAGAACCTGACGTGCGTTGGCCTTGACCATCTCAGCGGTTCGCATGTTTCGTGTGAAAAGTATTTGGATACAAACTAGCGAGAAAATTCATCGGTAACCCTACTGCGTGGAGTTCATTTTCACAAGGACGCCTTTTTAGTGCGGAGAATTTTTATGATGATTGCGTCGAAACAACAGTGCTGTTCAGTAAGATAGTTTGTTGCAAGTGAGTGTCAACGGATTTATGGAACGTATTTGTTGCTGCTCGCATATGAACTTTTTTGTTCATACCGTACCGTTCATCCACAGGCGTGTAATCGCACTCGAGGATCGCTGATCCGGGCAACTCTCATCAGTCACCATTTTAACGAACTGTGGGCCTGAGTTAATTTGTTGTTTGTTCACTGCAAATTGAGTCATGTGTCACGCGGTCCTACGATTTGAAAGGCTCATTGTGAACTTTTTACGAGACATGATAAACAGCATTCTTCCGAAGAGATCATAGTGAATTTTTTGTTGACATTTTTCTACGCAAATGACAATCGACCTTCATGCGGAGAAAATGAACTTGTACTAGGCGATTTCGCGTTAATGAATGTATCAATTTCTGGTGGCCTTCACGTGTGAAGTAATCGCGCTTACAAAAACGTCCTGCGAAGTGGTTGGATGCTGTTGAAGTTTCGGATCAGAGCTTCATGTCACATTGTTTTGGATGCTCTCGCGAACCAGAAAGCAGCAACATCGAAGTGGGCTACATGTGTGAATAACGTATTGAAGAAATTAGCTTTAAGTTGTTGATTGGAAGCGAAACATGGACACCACTTTGAACGTAAGCACGCCCCGCGTACTTGCGGATCCCCTGATATCATAGATGGTATGTTCAGCTAGCGTATTAGGTGTTATCCATTTCACAATGTCCATCGCAATCGGGTCTTCAAGTATGAATCCAGATTGGTGATTTTTTCTCATAAAAAACCTCCATCCGATGATATTACACTCACCAGTTTTCAACTTGGATATAGAAGTCGAACAGTGTGTGTAAATCTGATGTTTCACGACTGATTTTCAGAAATTTTTTGCTTTTCTGTTTAGGCTTTCAGTCACTTCACTTTTGAGCGTTCCGGCCATCGGTTGTTGGTGGTTGATATCCAAGGTGTGGGTGACCTTTACACGGACCCTCAGATACACACCGCTGATGGTGTCGGATATAGTGACGGTAACCTCGGTCCTCGGGGGATGGCACTTTTCTTCCATAGCCATCGGTGTAATCCACTGTGCGATTATCTTGGCCTCACAGCATTTGACCTGCCACCATCAGAATTGAACCGTGAGAAGCATACTGTCGATACGAGCGACAAAACCCCAGCTAGTCCCAAGCACCAGTTGATTGGTCCACACATTACGTCGGAAAATGGCTGGAACGAAGCCGACTGTCCTACGCATGTGTGCGATGCGAAAGAGGTGAGTGATGCGTACTGCGAAAACATAATTTCTGTCTTGATGTCTGGCCCAGATTTTATCACAAGGCACACATATCTGTTTTACATAACCATAATTTCATACGATTTGATATCATGTGTCATCAGACAGGGGCGAGATGGTCCAAGTGGTTGGAGCGCGAATTTACTGACCGAAAGGTTCGTGGTTCGAACCCGACCCCCGCCTCTCGACTTCCCCTGTCTAGGCTTGGGTAACCTGACAGTATCCCAGCCATCGTGCAACCTTCGGGTAGTATGGCAGCTAGGCACCGGATGGGTGCTACAGTTGAACGGTCACCCCCATGTGTCATCAGAATGTAGTGTTCCTAAGATGTGATATAAGCCATTCAGTTCATCCGCTGTGGAGTACCGACTCCGCGTAACAGTTATTCTGAATGTAAAGCATCGCGTTTCCAGATTGCTGATGTTCAACTCCCATAACCAGATGCGATATTTCCGAAGTCTCCGGCACTACAGAAAGCTCGCGTCTTTCTCAGTGAATCGATCTTTCAAACCATACTGGAGGCTTCTTGATTCCTACCAAGATATACCGACTATGATGATGATGATAACCGGGATAATTGATCATCTAGGTATCCTAGTGGCTGCCCGTAACATAATTAGGCCTTGAGGGATATGATTCGTCTTGGCTCGCTTAGGGATTTTATTCAGGTGACGTGTTGCGCATCTGCTGCAAAGTTTGAAGTTAATGAATACCAGAAGATGATGAGACAATCCGAAGTAACTCGATATTTTCCGTCAGGTAACATAGGTGACAGGAGCTAGCGTTCATTGTACGGGTGCACGACGTTTTAGTATCAGAATGTGTCTTCGTTCTGATGTGGATGGTGGTTAGCTGCCCGGGGCGTAGACCTCAGTTCTGAAAAATGCCGCTAAAACAATAGGCAGCATATAATTCTTTGTCAACTAGTCCTTCCTCTCAACAACGGAAACATGAGAATTTTACATTCCTTAGAGGGGACTAGTGTGGTCTTAGTGTGTGGGGACAATTTTCGCAGTCCTCTCAGTTGGTGTTTGACAGTTTTTTGGGTTTACTACCCAAGCACACCGAACCAAACAATCCTGAGTTGAAATACCAGATTTCACTGAAGACTTGGAGCCTCATAGTCATTGCAGTAAGACTTAATTGCATTTTGTTTGTCGATGTTTCTACATACTGCACATCCCAATACTCTCCCAGCCCGTCTTCCAGCAAAAATCCTTGCTTTCTGCTTTTATTTGATCTCTTTAGGGTCCAGTGGTCCCATTATGGTAGTTACTATTATGCTGGATGTGGCAAGCTCACTTTCGGGTGTACAAGGTTTCTCCTAAGTTAACTTGGATTGACTCAATACGAACACTCGCCAATGCATACGAATATTTTTATTCATCGTATCTACCTGTATATTCAATAGTTGTCCAATTTGTGTAGGAAATAGAGAGTTCTCTTTTAAATCGTATTTCTGGAGCAAGCAACAGCTCACTGTAACGACCACAACAAGTTACGAAATAAGCGTGTCTGACTGCCTACAGCCTATATTCTCTCTATTCGAGCTCGTCTTCCATGGATTCATCTGCTTCCGTATCAGGCTAATAACACCTCACAGTAGGTAGAATGGCAAGTTTTTTTCCGCATCCTGACCATATGGTCGAAGTGGCAAGTTTGTTTTCACACTCCTGCCACACAAATCGATAAGGATGAAAATTTACGACAAACACGTCTCACATTTCAGTTGTTTTCATGGGTGCTTCAGTTGTGACCAGATTGAATAGAGCGTAAGGAGGACCATGTTTTCATAAAGTACCTTACTGTGCAGGTGACCCAGACCAACAAAAGCTGGTTTTAGGCAGTTTTAGGCACAGACTAAGCAGTCAGATTCGTTTGGGTGAGCGATTTTTTCAAGCTTTACACATTTCCTTGAGGAGAATAAAAGTAATAATTCCATGTAACCATCCCGGGACTGACGTGGACTACATGGAACGTTGTTAATTCACTGGCTAGCGTCCACTGTTAGTGTCGCATTACTTTGAAGATTGGGTGAATACGTTGTGTGTAATATTACATTTTCCGGTAATTTCGTTGTTCCACACTCTCAGTTTAATTATTTTGGTAAATTTACAGTAACCTAAATGGGACATTTCAGCCCACGACCTTGTGAGTTACATAACAAACAGACTTGACCTCACATACGTCAGTATATTCGTGGGCATGATGGTTCCGGACCTTCTGGCAGCGAACTATCAACTAATCAATGCAGACTAGAACTCAGAAGGTCTATCTCTGTTAGCCACCCTAACGGGACCTTTATTTGAAGAAAGTAGTTGCAGGCTTGATGACAGTGTACTGAAGCCACCTGTTTGTTTTATCGCTATTGTAGCCTAATCTGTACTTTAAAATCAACTTGCTTCCAAGTCCGCCTGATTGTATTGCATCAATTCTCTTCAGTTTTCCCGTCGCCCATCGAAGTTCATTCCTAAGGATGGATTTGGACGCCGTCGCCGTTGTGTAAGTTTCAACCAACAATCCAGCCCATCTTCCCCGCGTTTCGGCCCAACTGTGGCTCGGTCTACTGAAAATATGCACTTTCCTGTGCCATTGCACCCAAGACGTCGTGCAGACAGCCTATCAATCTTTACAGAAAACCAGATATCTAACCAGCTTGCTCTACTTCTGTATAATAGTTCATCGCACGGCAATCTTTTGGACGATGAAGCGTCATCTCAGAATGCAATACCTAGTCCCAAGCTTATTGATGTTCATCACGCGCCACCTATCGAGGATCACGCATCAAATTCAGTCATCACTGGACATCCGTCCCCGAACATATGGGCATCAGTTCATATCAACGAGCACTTCCCAAGACCCCTGTTTGCCATAGAATCTTCCTATCGGTCACGAACTACACGCAATCGCATTGCTTCCGGTGATTCTGGTTACTCCGGTCGCATACAGTTCGTCACGCCGCCCTCTTCCGCTGATTTTGAAACACACATGTCGAAACTTGGCCAAGCCTTCTTTTCCTCCAGCTTCCTCTCCGAGGCTGCCGTACCGCCGCGCGTTCTTTCCGAATCAACCGTTTCTCTGAACGGCTGGTCGTTGCCCCCATCGCCCGGTGGTTTTCCTTCCTATCACATACCTCCCAACATTCCTGGAAATGGATCTATTTTCAGTAGCCGTGGTGATGATTTTGTTGCCACCGTATCATCCATGGGTCACCCTAGTTCAGTTGGTTGGGGTCATATCAACCATGGAATTTGTGGCAAACTAGGTGGAGCTTTGGTACCTCGTCGACATCGAAATCCCAGTGAGTCGAGTGATGTGGATGCGGAAGAATCTCACCGTCTAGTCGGCAATCTGCTACACCAGCTGATGCACGAAAGTCACAAACCTAGCTGTGCAGACCATCCGACAAATCTGGACCAGGAAATAGGACAGTCAATTCTTGGCCAGGTAAGGCTAGTCCTTTGTGTGTTCACTTTCGTTTTGCGTGACGTCTTGTTTCAGTCTCGTCTCACACGGTATTGTCTGGGTCACTTGTGAAGGCCAGTCTACTGTGACTCACTCCTCACACTGCCAACCGACGAAAATACTCTAGTGAATATACATTCTTCGTACCGATATATCACCCTCTGTTAACCGTTGTTTTCGGGGCGCCGTGTGTCGCCACTGGCTCGGTTCTAACTCACTGAACTGTGACATCAGCCATCAATATCTGAAGTAGTTTTTTTTCGCGGTTTGTTGTGTGTACATGTATGCAGTCCAGAATAGTCCAGTGGAATCGTATGGTTATTTTCTTGGCTGCAAGCACAAAAGCGTCTCTAGCCACTGAGGAACGGACTTCATCTCTTTTTACCCAAAGATACCCTGTTTGGAAAGATTTACGGTACCTTACCGACTGTGTCATGCTCAGCCCGATTCTCCCTATATTACACATAAGTTTGTTTGAGCGCGTCTACTCTTCATCATTGTAGCAAGACTTATGTGTCCAGCGTGTCATCAGGTAGCACTGAATCCACCCGTTAGCGAGTTTCCTCAGGCGTGAGGTATACTTGGCGTACAACAAGGTTTGTCATTGTTGGCTCTCGCTCAAAGTAGGGAATTTTCGTATTTGAGAGTGTTTGCTTTTGTCTGGCAGCCTGAAAAGTTGCCACAAGCGCATGGTTTTTTAAAAATAAACTTTTCGTTACCGTTGCACTTAGAGGGCCAAAGATGCGCAACATTATATCTGTAGCTGCAAAAGTGCTTGTGATTGTCGTTTGTTGTTCTATGTAGTATTAAATTTACCCAAAGCAGACAGGAAGAGATTATTGGGACAGAATATCCAAGTGAGGGTAGAGCGCTCTTAACTCACATAGTGTGAGCAGATCTACGTGAGATCTTTTATACAACCATAAAGAATGATCCTCTCCAATACTCGATCAGCCGACTTCGGTCGATAAGATGTAAGCTCATTCCACCGACCGATTGTACTGGGTGAGCCCATGCGCGATACCAGAGTTCGTTTACAAAATATGAAGCCAGATGGTTCGAGTTGGAGAAGGGAAGTATACTGGGCTTTACATAAATGGCCTGAAGTATACAAAAGTCACCGAACGTTTTTTGTCAGTCTCCATTAATCATATATACCATTCACTCCACCTCACCCTATGGAACGGCGGTTTGCAACCTTTGTAGTTTCGTGTGCTCCTTTCAGATTAAGGACCAGTGTCATTTCATGCTTCAGATTTTTATCGCCACTTGAGTAACATGAATATACGTTCCTTGAAATGCAAGATGAAATGGACTTCTGTTTCAGAAGCTCAAATATGCAGAGGAAATTGTCCTCATTTCTTAGGCGGATCAACAAGCGCATATATTCTTAGAAAGGCTGACCAGTGTCATCAAATCTTCCGGTGCGTGTTCCGTATTGACGAAGTGTAAAGTCAGACTGCATGACCTAGCCCTTGAACACACCCCGTATACTGCGGAAAGCGACATTCAACTAAGTGGAGCGAGTTGGGTATCTCGAAAGTCGCACTGGCTCTAAACGAATCCTAAAGTCCCGGATTGATTTGCGTCTGTTGTTGCGTCAACAGATATATCACTAGGTCTCCTAAGCTGTCCGCATCAGACTACAATATATGCCTTCAATGGAGTAGTGTTGACTAATCGGGTGCACCTGCGCTCTCGGAAATTGGTCATGCGAGCTACTCGCCTGCCTTCTGATGTCCGGATTCCGCCCAATAAATGTTAGATCTTCGTCGTTCTGTTTAAAGGTCCGTACCGCGCCATTGTCTCACTGCAGGAACCTGAAGTAGTAAATAGCAAACGGCACGGTCTCGTAATCAATAGCTTCATTCTACTCCGTCCATCGAGACAAAATGATATAATGCTTCTACCAGGTGAAAGTGAGCTGAAGACTGGAAGCATCCTTGTCCTCAAAGACAGCCTACCACTACGGTTTTTCAGCGTCCTGCCTATCAAACAAGTGTGACTAACTTTAGCCTGTAAAAGGAAGTCCGTGTCCTCTTCTGTTCGTTTGGCCTATCTATTTGTTTATCAAGCGCTGTTTCAGGTGCTTCTGAGTTTTGACAACGACGTTACCTAAAGTTGTTCAAACCGTTTCCCCTTTGGAATAGATCCACCACGAACTAGCTCGGTTGCATGAGGCCGGACGCTTCGTTCCCGGTTGCAAAGGTGGTTGGTCGCATGCAGGTTTAGGTGGCTTGGCGCTTACTAGCACTACTGCTGATAGCTTGTCTGGGGTGTCTGAAGAAGCGCCGTCCCCAGTCAGTGATCCCGACCACTCAATCGATTGGGAAGCCGTTTTGTTCCACGAACGGCACGCTGCCCAGTTGGGATGTCTCGAGGCAATGATTGTCATGGCGCACTATTATCTCGGCCTTCCCACACAACTGATGTTTGACTGTCCGATCAAGGTAAGGTAGACTTGCGTACTAATTCATACATCCGCATCATTCGATCAGTTGTTGAGAATATTATATCGATGAGTTTTCTGATATCAAACAATGGTGAGATTGAGCCGTATGTTTTTTTTGCATGCGTCTTTGACGTTCATCTCTTTCCTAATGAATGTGACGAAATAAACAACACACAGTATATATTTTCCTTAATTGTTTGCAACAGTTCCTTGTCTTCCTAGCGCACCGTGCGTGCCTTCCTGAGAAGTTTTTAACTTTAGTTTTGGGAGGCAAAATGCGTTTTAGACGAATTTCATACTCTCATGCTATGGGTGACTATTCCATACAGTGAGTGATCACGTCCTGGTAAGTTTGCAGACTGCCGTTGTCTGTGTTCAGCAAGACAGTGGGCATTAATTTGAGCAATTCGAGGGCATGTCAGAAAATGCAGGAACCATCTCGGACAAACGTCGATTTTAATGGTGTTGTTTACTTAATAATGGTCAAATATTGTCTACT